CTAGATCGGATTGATTGATTGAATGATTGACTGATTGATGATCTATTCCAAAAACAACCAGACACAGGTTCCTACCTACTAGCTAACTAGTTACCTATGGATCTTACCTCCCCCGCAGCCATGGCCAGAGTCAATAGTCAATGCACAATGCACCCCTGTTTTTGCGAAATAAGAGATGCAACCCGGGAGAGAACAGAATAAGGGAGAAGGGGTACTCGCGACCATAGAAAGGAACAGTAACCATGAAGACACCAAGGTGGAACAGATAGACAAATAGGGTTGTGGTTATGGAAAAAGCGGGATGAGTAAATACATACAGTAATTCCGAGCCCCCGCGTGAGTTGAGCCAAAAGAAGTAAAGGTGAGAGTAAGAGGGATGAGGGGATGAGGTTGCAAGGTTACAGTAAATGCGCCAGAAGAATGGAGGGAAAATAGATGCATGCATGCATGCATGCATGACCGGAACGCGTGGGAAAACTCTACCGGGATTTCCAGGAAGGAACCGAGACCCATCGGGAGGAAGGAAAAAGCAAAGTCAAAAAGACGGAAAAGAAAGAAAAGAGGCATAAATCATCAGCAAGGGAATAATAATAATAATAATCGTAGCAACCAGATCATCCGGGCCCGCGTTTGACATTACACGGATAAAAGCGAAAAGAGGTGAGGGGCAAGGGACGAGGAACAGCAGATAATAGTTACACTTGGGCGACCAGATAAGGGTACGTCTTTGTCAGGCGAGATTTAACCGCCCACGTCAGCATTAGGTGGCTCGTCACGCAATGTAGCGGACGGATTGGTGCCGGCTGATATCAGGGTCGGTGCAACCCGTCTCTTCTTCGGCTGTTGCTGATTCTGCTGTTGTGCCTGCGGAGCGGCGCTCTGATCTTTGTCGTCCTCCTTCTCAGACTCACCGGGTCGTTTGCCCAGAACACTGTTGCTGACATAGCTTGTCCCACTTTGGGAGGCCGCGGACATGGGGGTCTGCGGCGGGGTAGTGAGCGGGAGTGTCGGAGGCTGGGCTGAATGGGTTGCTGTCACTAGCGGCACAGACCCAAGCGTAGGCGTCGGGTTGTTGATGAGCCTCGAGCTACCAGACTGTGTCGTAACCGAAGAGACAGAGTTGGACCGTGCCGGACTTGCGGGAGGTGCCTGAGTCGGATTTGTTTGAACCGCCGAGCTTGGTTTGGCAGTGACAGGCGTGGGGAGCGGCGTGTTATTGGCGGATGAAACGGCAGCTCCTGTCTGTTGAGCCGCTGATGCCGGAGCCACATATGGTTGGCCCAACTCTCCCGGGGAAAACGCGAGGGTCGAACAGAAGCCGTCTGACGAACTCATCATCAAAGTCAATCCGTCGTTTGACCTGGATACGTTTAGTACATCGCTAATCGGTTTCCTATGTCTGAGACAGAGCTTACCATGTCAAGTCGGTGAATGTGGCAAAGTGCAAATTGCTAACGACACAAACTGGTGTCTGTTGCTGGGTGTCATATACCATGACCCCATCCTGGGTCGCCACAGCATACACGATCCGATAAGGTAACGTGAAAACAGGTGCAGGACTCTGGCTTACAAGTCGATCCGTGGCCTTGGGAGTCGAGCCATTCTTTGCCTGGTCATTCGGCGCCGACGTCGGGGGTTCCATAGAAGCATTGTCCCCCGTAGAGCTCACTACCGGCTCAGGAAGAGAAGAGAAAGATTCCTCCGTTGACGAGGTATCTAATGTGATATGCTTCGCAGGCTGGGGACCCTGCCGAAGCGTGTAGAACACAGGTGAGCATTTCACTGCCACAGAGGGCTTCTTGTGGCCCGGAAGGTGTGAGATGGGAGGCTTGTTGAAGCCGGCACGAGTGTAAATGTAAACAGTGTTCGTAATCTCATCTGTAGTCTTTGTCGGATCGGTAGCAGACACATGCGAAGTTTTGTATTGGCCTGCAGGCGTGAATAGCAAGCTACCATCGGGGGCAAATGTCAACCTCCGGAAGAAGGAGGTGAATGTCTCATTGGCATATATATTGGCATTTTTGACGCCAAGTCCACCCAGCAGACCTGGTGAGGGAACTTCCAGTGGCTTGACTGCGGGCAATGGCAAGGATGGCGCTGGGGATGCCGATCGACGGATCGAGGGAGATGACCCGAAGGATGAGCGTCGGCTGTGTGACACCGGTGGAGGATACATGGGCAGATTCGAGATCATCGGTGTGCCCGGGGTAGAGGGGGCAGGGGACACAATAGCAGCAGCAGAGCTCGGCGCTGTGGGTTGGGAGCGAATAGAAGGATCCGGCGGAGCTGGGCTACTGGAAGAGATGCGTTTGGCAGGGAGATCCATCTTGAGGAATTTCCCATGGGATGTAAGGGTGAATTGACCATCCTTTGTTTTCAAGCTGTAGATGTGGACAGAGCGATCTGACGATTGCGTCGCCACAAACTCATTCAGAGGATCCCAAGCTACACCCTGTACATAATGCGAATGCTCAGCGATCTGGCGTACCATTTGACCTAAATTTTTGATCGTAAGCGGAAAAGGCATGCCTCGAGGCATTCTGAAAGAGGACGCTCACCTGTCTGAGCATTATAGATCCGGGCAATATTGTCCATGCTTCCTGTTATGATGAACACGCCATCTGGTGACCAGGCAAGATCATAGATCTCTGCACCAGAAGACCGACACATGTGCTTTACACGCCATGTTTCCTTGTCGTCAGAACGATCTTCACCCAGACCAGATTGTGTTTGCAATTCCGATGGGACCCAGAGTAACACATTGCCATCATCTCCGGCAGATGCCAGCATCTCGCCTGAAAAGATTACGAAGACGAGCCGTCAGAGACAAGATTCGGTATATGGATCGAGGAGATATCTACCTTTAGGACTGAAACGGACCACATTCACAGCTTGGGTGTGTTTAATCAGTGTGCTTAGGTAGGTCACTTTTCGTTCTTCGCCAGTTGTCTCCACTTTCCATAGCTATGGTGGTATTCTTGTGTCAGAGAAAGGCCGTGAGGAGGAGTTTGGAGGGGGAGGAGGTNCTGGTGAGGGGGTTTCGTACTCGGACGTTGTTATCACTAGGGAGGAGGAACATTAACACCATGGACCCATAATTGACCTTAACACAAAGAGTAGTTTATCATACTTGCCGGCCGTGGCCAGACGACCTTTGCCATTGGGGTCGAAATGGACCGAGTAGATGGGGGCATTGTCGTTGTGCCACGAAATGAGCAACGGGGTGGCCTTCATGGTGAGCACGGCAGCTCAATGAGGGCCCCTGGGGAGTAACGGAGAGGACTACAGCTCTTCTTGCGCGCAGGGGAAGAGCTTGATGATATTGTATGCTGACAGTGGAAAGGGTGTGAGATCGCCACAGCAAGAGGAAGCGAGAAGGGGTAATGATCGGAGGAGGGAGCCGTTCGTAGAGAAGGTTAATTTATTGCTTGGAGCAACGAGAGGAATCAATCGATCAATCAGTCAATTAATCAGGTGCCGCGGAGCACGACCAGTGGAGGGACGGAGAATTCCAGTGGGGACACAAAAGAAAGGGATAGATCCGGTGAAGGTGGCCAGGGAGTGAGTAGTGACAAAGTCGTATCGAGGGAACTTGAATGGGAAGAGAAAAAGAGGGCCCAGAGACAGAGAGCCAAAGGGTCGTAGTGGTGATGTCGATGCTTCCCGTGTTGGTTTCGCTTCCTCGTGTCGCTCTGGCGTTCAACGCGCCCGGCGAATGACAGCCGCCCTGACCGTCAGCATCTTTCCTGTAGATGCAATCGATCAGCATTTCAACTACTCCCCGTGGTTGCAATTTTCTACGCTTCTGGTACTGAGGTTTATTTCCTGTCTTTATGCATGTCTTGAACATACCAGACGGTCGGTTTTTCTACGCGACCCGATATATGATTTTGCCCATGGTTTGGGGTGGATCATTCCTCCTAGCTCAAAGGTGTATAGCAAGCAGATATATACCCAGCGATGGTACCTGAGGGATCGCTTCTCTTGCGTTTACTTTGGGTTTACTTTCATTGGCTTCTCCCTGCATTCCTATTGGAAGGGTAAAAAAGCACCCTGGAATCCGTTGGCCCTGCATATCCATGCGTAACAACGTCGATTGTCGCAGACTCGCTTCTAAATCATAACTCCTACTGGAGGGGGTGACAAATGGGGTAATCATACACAAGAGAAGAGAAAGATCCAGTCCATAATGGAAGCACCACGCATATGCTTTATGTAACCCAGCGGCCAATCGTCTCGCCGAACCAGCTGACGGCTTTCTCTCTGCGCTTTTGCCGTGCGTCCTCGTGTGTCTGCATGAATGGCGATGCCTCCTGTACGTACAATTTCTGTTGCTCCAGCTGCGCATTGTGTGCTCGGATCTCCAATTCTCGTTCATGTGGAGTAAGCTGTGCCAACGGTTTGGACGGTTTCAGTCCTGTCGGGATCGTCTCACCTCCAGGAATCTCCAGGGCTCCTGGTGCGTTGGCGGGTGTCTGCTGTGCCTCTGCCTGGGGGTTGAAGAGAGAAGTGAGAGGCGGGGGCTCCTGTCCAGCTTTCCGTGCTTCTTCGGCCCGTTTCTCGTAGTCAAGCATCTGATGGTAGAGCTTATCTGCGTGCATCTGAATCCGTTCTTCCCTTTCCTCGTCCCAGTTGAAGGAGGAAGCGTATCCTAGTGCCTGGAGGAATTTCTGGATTACCGTCAGCATATACCGACCGACAACAGCTCAGGCATCGCAGGGAAAGAAAAGAGCCGATTTAACTGCGCCTGCACTTACAGCCTGGGTGGTAAAACAACGAGAGAACTTAGCGTTTTCCTCAGAGCACAGAGTCACACGGGCCCGCAATCGTTTCTCCCAATTGCCAGTCTGGAAGCAGTATGTCAAGTCCTCATGCTCCAGGGCGCAATTTTCCATCGCCGCACGGTGCACGGTATCACCGCGCTGCTTGTACTTCTCAATCACTCGCTCTGCAGTCTTCTGTTCCGTCGCTTCCTTTTCCTGGGGCGGCTTGTAGGTCTTCCAGAGATGCGCATAACGGCCATCTTGGAATAGAGAAGCGGAGGGAAGGGCGGGTTCGGAAGGCTCGGCGCTGACGGATGGCTTCGCATCTTGGGGTACCGTCTTGGAGGGGTCCTGCGATGAGGGGACTGAAGTGGTTGGGACGTATTTCTCTGGAGCTTCATGCTCGAGGTATTCTCGCAAGCCCGGGTCAAGCTTTTTGACCGGGTCGTCCTTGTTCGAGCCACCCCAAAACCAGCCCATGGTGTGAGTGCAGTGAAGGCGTCCTTTTTCGGAAGAGTAATGGTCCGATTGCCAGATAGAATGCGCGGTTAATAGGTAAGAGTATTGAGGAATATATGGAGAAGAATTGGCTGGAGCATGCGGAGACCGACCGCAAAGGCACTTGACCGACCGCCATACCGCTTTAGTCTAGAGCGCAGCCAGGAGAGGAAAAGGGCGAAGATCCGAGCCGGGGCTCGAACCCGAGGCCTTGCCAAACCTTAGTTATCCGTCAAAAGGGCGGAATACTTGCGATAGTATGGGGAAGACATGATGGTAGTATGGAAATAGAGTCAAGAGATCAGAAGGAAGACGAGAAAAGCCGTCTAGAGTCAATAGTAGGCTGAATCTTTGTTTCTAGCACAATACCAGTTGTGAAAAACAGCTGTATCATTCATAATATTGGAGCATTTTGGACCTTGAACGTTGGCGCTCCATAACTTGGAACTCAACTAGTACTCAGCCTTTATATATAAATAGCCTGCATCGGGAAGAAATCCAACGTCAGAAGGATCACTGGTGAGATCTACCACTAAATTGGCAATTGCCATTCACGGTGCCAAAGTCCCATAATGTTGTCTCAAATCACACATTCATTGTCATCACTAGAATGTGTTCTGAAGTGGTTGGCAAGGTGTATATCTGCAAGACAGTCCGATTTGCTAGTATTGCCAACTCAGTGTACTGAGTAGTCCGGAGCAAAGAGCCATCGTATGACACCGATTTCCTGAAACCGGCGGAAATTATGTGCACAAAGAATAGCCCCGTAAAATCTGTTTATTGGGATTAAGAATATATGGCGATATGCTTTGATCTTCTTCTCAAAAGAGATGATAGAATGTAAACATAGACTGCGGCTGTTCACGGGCACCCACATGGCGGGAGCATCGCCAACCCACCATTGGCCATCCCGGCGGGCGGCATCGCTCCATCATCACAGCTCCTCTCCATCCATCCATCATCGCTGGGCCACATTTCCCTCCACCATTTCCCCCTTCGCGTGTGGTTTGGCGCGTTGAGCTCGGCAGGAGCGCCGCCTCTCAATCATGGCTTCCAGTATGCAGTCCTTACACCACCGTGCTTGCGCCAATGCTAATGGTAATCTAACTATCCAGATCGAGAGGAGCGGCTGCAAATGCGGCAGCGCGGAGCAGCGTACGCGCATCACCATCCCGAACCCCGCGACGAACTCACCCAGAATCCGATTTTGCTAACGCTGTGACTGTCTACTAGGTCACGCAAGACCAAGGCGATAGACTTTGGGTTTTCTTTTGGCCTGCCTACTGCCTCCGATGAACCGTCTCAATCCACGTCGCGACCGGACAATGTCGGTATTTCGCTGTTCCCTCCTGTACCACCACCGGCCTCGACGACAGATACTGCTGTGAACACGACGACGCCCGTAGCCGCAACGGAACCGGAGATTACGCAACCTTCCATTATATCGCCGGAAAGAAAGCAGCCGGCGCAGGAGGGACCTATTCGTCGAACACCTGGAAGCGCGCGCAACAAACTCCCGCCGCGTCCATCGCCTTATGATCTACCTACAGAAGATCCGCCGGAAGTTGGACCTAGTCGCAAGATAAGGAAACTTGGTGCGTATAAGATAATTAGATGTGCCACCAGGATGCTAATAGGCCAAAGATCATTCTAGAAGAACTTCGACGATATCATTTAGCGCGCGGGATGAAGAGAGTTCGCAGCCCCTCAACAACGGCGTCGCATCAATTGCCGCCCTCCAGTCGCCCCCTAAACCGACGAGTCCACCTGCTCTCAATGGCACACAACATTCTCAAGAGGAACTGTCAACTACACATGTTGTACAGGAGGATCCTGCACCCTTACAACTACCGCAGTTGGCAGAGCCTGTAGCACCTTACCATGCCACGGAACCGCCGCCGGAACCCCAACAAGAACCCCAAGCGAAATCGACGCCTTCTCCGCCTGGCGAGGAAACAAGGGGCAAGCGCAAGAGACGTACATCCCGTGATAGTGACGTTTCTTCGCGTCGCTCTCCGCGTCATTCTCCGCGGGGTTCTCCGCAAAACGCTGTGAGCCCCAAGGCAGCAGATGTGGAGGGTTCGCAGGTATCAGCAGCAATGGATACATCACCGGATGGGAAATCACCAGTCACAGCGTCACCAAAAATTGCTGCGCCTGATACTACCGGGAGTCATGATGACACTACACAGGACGTTACCGAGCCTCAGGCTACTAGTGAATCGCAGATCCCCGCAGCACAAATATCTAGCGAAGAAGAGACCACCGCTGCAGGCAAAACCACCCAACCACGAATCGTTAGCGAGGCCGAAGCCACTGGATCTCTACTACTTGCTAGCGAAACTCAAGAGGCAGCTGAGCCTCAAGATGCTGTCGAGCCCAAAGAGACGAACGGCATCGGGAAAGCAGCCGAACCTCATAGTACTACAACACAGACAAAGTCTCCAACACCCCCGAGAGCCAAGAGAACGAGAGAGCAACGCGCAGCATCCGTTCAACCGCATTCAACAACTGCTAAACAGTCTAGAGTGGTCAGGGCTGGCTCAGCAGAAAGCGCCCCAGCCCAAGGCATGGAGAGAAAGAGACTTCGTGGACGTATCGGGAAGAATCAGGAGCCTATGCCCAGTATTCCTACAGTAGAAGAAGAGCCCGCCGATGACACTGGCGCGACTGTTTCATCCCAGCCAAAGGATGGTACCGTGACCAAGGGAAGTCGACAATCACGGCTGCCAAGACCTACTACGGTGGCGGACAAGAAGTCGACGCGCGCTGGACGCCCCGGAAGAAAACCGGCACGATCCCAGGATATTCAGGAAGAAGTGCCTATGCGCGAGGAAGAGGCGCATCAGCCGGAAGAGCAGCAGCATGAGCCAGAGCCAGAGTCCAAGGCCGTCACAGAACCCGAAGCATATCTACAGCCAGAAGCACGGACAGAACCCAAACCATCAAGGCCTGTCAGACGTGGTCGCGGCAGGAAACCATTGCCGGAGAATACGGATGATGCGCAAGCTTCGAACGAAGAAATTCCAGCACAAGCCGAGCAGACTGAGCCTGAAACAGAAGTACAACCGGCACAACAAACAGAACCTCCTAAACCTGCCAAACGTGGTCGTGGCAGACCGCTGTCAAGGAAAGAGAACGATGTGACACAGGCTCCGGACGAAGAACCTACAGCTCAAGCTGAGGCAGTCGAGCCCGAGCCTGTACCAGAGCCCGAAGAAGAACCACAGCCGGAGCCTCCAGCGGAACCCGAACCGGCAAGACCTGCCAAACGTGCTTCGCGGTCGCAAACCGGCGTCAAAGGAGAAGGATGACACAACACAAGCCGCAGTTGAAGAAGCTACAGCTCAAGACGAGCCAGCCGAGCCAGCCGAGCCAACCGAAGAAGCACCACCACCTAAGAAACGCAAGCCCAGACAACCCCGGGGAGAAACAGTGCCAGTGACTGTCCATCGTTTCGTGAACGCCACTGCACTTGGAGAAGGTCCAGAACCAGAGGAATCGTCCGACGAGGAAGAGGAGTCCGCCGAGGGACTCACGGCGAAACAACAGACCAAGCTTGTGAGCCGAGGCGGCGTCAACGCAGCAGACGTACTAAGCCAGATCTGCCGCGAGACGTTAGAAAAGACGCTCGCGACACTCAAGAACGGGATCGCGAACGAAGGCAACGCCGCCCGGCGTGCGGAATGGACACGCAAGAAGAAGGCCGTCGAGGCCTACGGCACGGAACTCGAGGGCCGTCTCTTTGAACTGAGCGAAATGCTCGACAGTAACTTTGTTCTCGGACGCCAAATCAAGAAATCCAAACGGGAGATGATGGATCTGCGGAGCCGACTATACCGAGTCCGGAAAGAACGAGAAGACGTGGCATTGCAAATGGACGCCGTACGGAGGAAGCACAGTGAGGAAGAGAATGCCAAAATGGTAAGCAAGCGAGCAAGCATATTACCAGATACACCCCAAGCATTGCTAACAAACGTCCCCCCAGGCCCGCTCAACCATCAACAACTCCCTCCACAGTCTGGACCTCGCCCTCGAGCGCAGCCGCAATCGCCCCGTCGACGAATCCAGCTCCCAGAACCCCGAACCCTCCTCCACAGCCGGACTGGAGTTCCTTGTCCGCAACGTTGCGGAGAACGTGAGCTCCATCGCCCCTGGAGCTCAAGGCGGTCTGCTACATCAGATCAAGTCATTCAACGCACAGCTCGAGGCTACTGCGCGGAGACTCGAGAGTTGATTGACGGTGATAAGGATACACGTACTTGTCTAACCTGGTTTCATTGATATGTTCGTTGTGCGATCATTGTAAAGCTGTGTCTGTGTTTTCAAATAAATACCCCCGGCATTGTTGTCTACGGAGTGAGGGTCATGTTTACTAGTTGGATAAGGATAGGAATAAGGACATGGATAATGGGATTTAAATGACGATGGATAGATACATCCAGCTTTTCGTACTACTTCATTATTAGAAGTCGGACCAAGAAGCCATATACCACCACCACCAACATCACCATAAACTGCAAAACAATTAACCAAAAACAATCAGCACCCTATAGATTGCACCCCAACCACTCCATCATCATCGTCATCACCTCGTAACCCAACAAAGTAATTGAAGATCGTACCCTATAACCAAGCAAATACACAAATAAGTAAGCACCTACCCCCCCCCTCGGCCATACAACCGGAGACCGACGAAGGAGCAGAAATCCGTAGAACCATTATCTTAAATCCGTAATACCTCCAGAGTGCCAAGTTTGATTGATTAGTTGTTGAATTTGTCAGCCAAACACGCCATGTGGCCGCCACCTGCAGAAATCGACGGTTAGTCAGCCGCTGTTGTGGGGCTGGGATTTCTGCAGGATCGCCGCGCTTAGTTTACTGCTTATGTGTATGGAGATGAATGGGAGATAACTACTAGATGAATGTGTTGTTGTTCGCAAGTGTGACATCCAGATGTATTTCTCTCTTTCTATATTCTAGGCTTTTTTCATGTCGTATGTCTGATTATTAGCATAGAGGTCCATATTGAGCTCAGGATAATACTCTGGTTCGGGTCGGATCCTCGGGGTGCAGAAGTGCCGATGGTTGCCGTAGAGGTGTGCAATCGTTATATTTCCTACTTCGTTGTATGTCAATCCGGAGAATACTTCAACTTCGTTGATGATAGGTTAGGATATTAGTTCAGAGGATCTAAGGCTAATTGGATGTAGAATTGACTTTCCATACCCCGACTGTACTCCGAGCGATGCTACGCTATAATCCTTACGCCTAACTGAGATCTTCTCTCTCCCTGATCTGATGATTAGAAATCCAAGGTGTGGATCTTCTCTCCATTTGGTTCCATAATTTTTTTCCTGGCCCTCCCCTTGGGTCTCGTACCGAGACATGGGTGTATGGCTATGGCGTGCCACAGGGGATTAGTTGTTTCCAGATAAATGTCGGATCAGTGTGGCCTGGTCCTCAGGGTATATATAAGTAGTAGTTCTCATCTCCTCTCTTTCTCTCATCAGTATCATTTTGTGATATACCTTATCCACATATCTCAATACCCCTCCTTATATAGACCAGTTGTCCATATAGACCGCCACCATCATGTCCAAATTGTTCTCCCCCATCCAGGTCGGCCGTATGCCCCTGGCCCACCGTCTCGCCATGGCTCCCATGACTCGATTTCGTGTCGACGACAACCACGTCCCCCTTGACCTTGTGACGCAGCACTACGAGCAGCGTGCTGCCGTTCCCGGAACCCTTTTGATCACGGAAGCCACCATCATTGCGCCCCCTGCTGGCGGATTCCCCAATGTTCCCGGCATCTGGAACGACGCGCAAATTGCGCAGTGGCGCAAGGTGACCGACGCTGTCCACAAGAAGGGCTCATACATCTACATGCAGCTCTGGGCGCTGGGTCGCGTCGCCAGTCCGGAATTCCTAAAGGCCAACGGCAACTATGATGTCGTGTCTAGTAGCGCTGTTGCTTTTGACAATGGCCCTGTTCCTCGCGAGTTGACTGAAGCGGAGATCCACGAATACATAGCCAACTATGTGCAGGCAGCGAAGAATGCCATTGCGGCTGGATTTGACGGTGTCGAGATTCACAGTGCCAATGGGTACTTGATTGATCAATTCATTCAGGACACCGTTAACAAGCGTACGGATGCCTGGGGTGGAAGCGTGGAGAAACGTTCCAGATTCGCTCTCGAGATTATCCGTGCTGTATCCGATGCTATTGGCGCGGACCGCACCGGTGTCCGCTACAGCCCTTTCAGTACTTTCCAGGGTATGCGCATGGATGATCGCATTGCTCAGTTCACTCACCTTGCTGAGAAGACGGCCGAGTTCAAGCTGGCTTATGTGCACCTTGTCGAGCCACGCATCGCCGGAAATGCTGAGGGGCTGGTTTCGGACCAAGATTCCCTGGACTTCTTCGTCAAGGCGTATGGCGACGCCAGCCCTCTCATCGTTGCCGGTGGCTACAAGGCTGACTCGGCCAAGGAGGCGGCTGATGTGCAGTACAAGGAACACGAGATCCTTGTTGGAATTGGCCGTCCCTGGACAGCGAACCCTGACCTTCCGTTCAAGATTCAGAACAACGTTCCTCTCCGCCCGTACGAGAGAGAGGTCTTCTACTTGCCCAAGGACCCCAAGGGTTACATTGATTATGACTTCAGTGAAGAGTTCAAGACCGTCCAGGTTGCTGCTTGATCCAGGGTGTGAGACCGTGTTTCAAACTTCCGTGGCATAAATGTTGAGCGCTTGCATAGTGTATATAGATTCTCTTTGTATATAAATTAACAGACATGGCATTAATATTCTCATTAGCTCAGTGCTTGTACTATAGGTCATGTTAGTACTACCGAATATACCAACAAGATGCACAACTTACTCTAAACTCTAGATTTTCCTTGTCTGTAAGGTCCAAAAACTCGGAATTCTCCTCATGTTGCAGCCCTGCACACTTTCTATCGCGTCGCCGATTCTCCCAGATGTAGTAGCACTTCAGAGCTACGGTAAAAGCTATCGCAACAGAGACAGTGGCTACAATGGCGACCTTGGCTGGCATATACTCTGGTTCGTCCTCAGTGCGAAACGACAACGGCCCTAGAATGTTGCCGAGACAAAAAGACATCAGGGCGATTGCATTCATGGTCACTTTCTTAGTATGACCGGCGACATTCGCCCCGACGGTAGAATAGAGCAAGGGAAGTGCTGCGCCGACGCAGTTGGTCAGGTAGTTTCCTGCCAATTTGGCGCCTTTGTTGTCACTCGGAGCGAATGCCATGAGACAACCTCCAAGGAGGCCCGAACATAGAATGCCGATAATGCAAAAACACCGCTGGTCGAAACGGCCTGCCAAGTATGTACCGAGTAAGATGCTAATCACGCTGACGACGCCGCCCGGTATCGTGAGCAGTTCAGTCTCCTTGGTGTCGAAACCGAAGTTCTTGATGATCAGGGACGAGAAGCTGCTGATGGCTGCATTACTGATGTTCCCTGAGGCAATTATGATAGCAATCAAGTATGTCTGAGGGTCCTTAAAGGCCTCGAAGAATTGCCCCCATTTGAGGTTCTTGTTTTCAATACCCGTCCTATTCTCGCGAAGACGCTCAATTACCATCAATTTCTCTTCATGGCTTAGCCGGGACTTCATAGGGTTGTCTGGGAAGACAACAATGACCGTGATTCCGACTGCGATAGTAATGAGCCCAAAGATCAGGAACATGATCTGCCAGGAGTAGAATTTGTCCCCTCCATAGAAGAGCAGCCCGTATGCAACGAGGGCGCCTACTATGGTCGCGGTGCCTGTGCCCAGGTACCAGAAACCGATGCGCTTAGGTTGTTCTTCACTAGGTTAGTGAATGTGAACTAGCGGGGTTGATTGCATACCGTTTCTCTTGTACCACATGGAGGTTATCAGAATCAATCTAATCTCGTCAGACGAGCCTTTGCTACATCAGATGGTGTCTTACGCAGGTGCTACAGCACTTTCAAAACATCCTAGGAGCACTCGAAGAACGGCGAGTCCGGGGAAGTTCTTCGCAACACAATTGAGAGTTGTCAAAAGGCCCCAGAGGGTCACTTATTCGTCAGCTTTGCCAAAATGGATTAGTTAACTCACTCACCATTCAGTCCCAAGTACTTTGCTGTCGGCAAACGCTGCATGAAATATCCGGTTGGAAGTTCAAAGAAGAGGTAGGACACGTAGAATGCCAAAGCGAGGTTTGAGAACTGGTCTGTTCGCATGCCAGTGTCATCAAGAAGGCCCATGACGGATGCATAATTGACTGCAACCCGGTCAGCTTCTGGATCGAATAGAGCACGTCGTCACGTCACACTGACTTAGGATCTTGTCTAGGTATTGCAGAAAGTAGATTGCCCACATTAGGGGCACAACCATCCAATCGATCTTTCGAAGCAGCTTTTTCTCATCTACATCAGAGAAAGTAGCCACCTCGCCAGCACGAAGGTACTCCAATGCTGCATCAGCCTGGCCAAAGGATACATGACCGTCTGCCTTCGATTCGACGTCAACTGCACTTGTGGCGACAAACTTTTCATTGTTTCCTGATGTCGAAACCGTCATGGTTTCCGCCATATTTCTCATCTGATGGTCCTCGATGGGTGTACGTGGCTCGGCCTTGTTTTTAACAGAACATGAGATACTTCAGGTGAAGACATATCTCAGCACCTTTCTTATACCCCGCTAACTTCCAAGTGATTGGAAATGCTATCGCACTGATAACCATGATATGCTTGTGCAAGCGCCTGCGAATCGTGAAAAGGTACTGTGCTCGGCCGACTGATTGTAGTTCCTGGTTGTCTTGATTGGCTCCCAGGTCCTGTCTTAACAAAATAGCGGCTATTCAAAATCATGCCTTGTGCTGCTTTGACCTATATGGAGATTGATAACACACGGACCTCTATAACTATCAATTAGTATCGGATTAAGTTGATCGGAGAATACGATCACTGCAAAAGCTCAAAGTCTTGCCTACAGCTGAATCTACGCAACTCAGATCATTTCCTTGACTGTTTGGATTCTCTGGATGCAACATGGGCAATGTTTCAAACGTCAGCACGCTTGCAATCTATAGCCGACTTTGAGTGGCAGCTGGCCAGTCGATATCAATCAGCATCGTCTGACAGACCGCGCGCAATGCACCTTCTCTTTGAAGTTAGTCAGGAAATACAGATACTGGTAGAGATTGATAGAACTGATAAAGACCCTGAATGTCAGGTTTATCAGGATGATCGCTCCAGAAAGAGAAGGTCGTAAGCCGGTTTTCACGGGGATATCTTGAGCCAGCAGCTTATCAACCCCGCACGACGCGGCGTCTGTCAAGATGATAACGGGCACCTTATCACTCTTCGGTGCATCGTGTCCTCGGATGTTCTTTCGATAATACTAAGTCTAGACTTGCCCAGCTACCGAGTCATGGCTTGATGAGAATGTGGTGAGGACCATCTGGGTGCGATGCGACCGAGGTAGAGCATAGCGGTATTGTAGATGGACTGCATGTATGCAACCATAGCTTCTATACTGTTAGTCTGTCTTTCACGTTCTGATTAGGAATGCTTTCAGTCGTCGTGAAGCAATTCGCCTTCACGCACACGTTTCAGCAGAGCAAGGTCACAGTCGGAGCAGCAGTTTCCAGCGGATACCATTATGGTGATGGTATAGTCTATGGAAGTATCTTATCCTGCGTTTTGAACTGCGCTGGCTGTGAGAGAGTAAATTGAGCAATTGAGAGAAGAGAGTCGAGATCAACAAGTGGCAGTGACGATGGTCGGCGAGATTTTTGCTTGTTTGGGTTGTTTCCTTTTCTGTTTGACATGCTCGTGCGCCATCAGCAAAAGCAACGAGCAGAAGCTCGTCCATTCAGCGACAGCAAACCCCGATCACTGCAGTTCACGATTTTCGGAGTGGCATCTGGTCTATCAACAAATTTGTCATTTCTCGAATCAGTCAAATTGCCACTATCGAGTCGGTGAAGCGCATGAAGAACGACAGTTCGTCTCGAAGATTTCTCAACACCCCGCCGCTTTCCTACTATCGAAGGATAGAGCCGAGGAATCCACTTGATTCCACTTGGACCCTCGATAGTCATTGACGCCATTTCGGTGGTGGCACTGCCTCTGCTGGTGAGGAAACCGGGAGGATGCCAGACCGCTTCTTCTGTAGATCTTCCTCCCCACATCAACAAATACCATCACTCGATCCAACCATCAATCCCACCAAAGATCGTCACGAACGCCGGCTGTGATTGACTTTGAATGAATTGTTACTTTGTTAGCTTGCCACCTGGTTGGCATGTGGTGATGGGGCTAGGATAGCCCGAAGGCGCGTGGGTGAAAGACGAAGATCTACAAGGCGTCGTGCTTAGACGGCACGGGACTCCAGCAACCTACCTATCTAGCCATCTACTGACTAGTAAGTGAAGATTACCTGCTGTTTTCGCTTTGTTGCATGAACTATGGAGCCATAAGCACTTGGACTGAATCCTACTTTCGCTTCAGATTCGAAGATTCTACTCGCATGTGGACCGGCCCAACTGGCCATGGGACAAACCCGGTTTTCCTGCCCCAGCCGCCTTCGCTCCCCAACCTCGATACAATGTCCATTGTCCCCGACGTACTCCACCAGATGTAACTCAAAATTGGGCGTGGTAGAGATAACGAAGGTGGAAGCGAAGAGCAGAAAACTATACACACACAAAAGAATTGCATCATTGCTGAATTCCAGGCGGGTTCTAAACCTTGAATGAGCAATACGGCAAGTGTACTACCAGAAGCACGGCACTGCCGGGATTTCTGGAACCATCTCCCAGCCAGTCATATCCGAGCATTCAGGTCACCGCATCTCCGCAGGCGGGGACCAGGCTCAAGAAGGACAAAGAGAGACAGACCTTCGAAAAAAGCAAGAACATGAGAAAAGTGGAATATCCCCTCTCAGCTGCAGTGGACCCTAATACGAGTCCTTCCAACTGTGGCGCATAGCTTCTTGGAAGAAGAGCTCCAGATTTATTCATAATCGAACTCGTAAGATTTTGGTCTGTTTCTCCGCTCCGCCGAGCCGAGGGTATAGAGTAACGCGTCTCATCATTTGTCGATTGCCCAGGCAGGATCTATACCAAGCCACCTCTACACAGTGGCCGCGGGGAACGGGAAATCCCCAGACCCCAGGCAGAACCCAAGGAACAATAGCCATCCACAGCCCAATTTCCAAGGTCTCGGTACCAGCAGCGTGGCTGTGGAACCGACCAGACACCAAACAAGGGCGGTCCGGACGCAAGGAACATCATCCATGGTTTGACCTTGCAAGTGCTGCTCTCCAAGCAATCTCAGAAAGATGCGCCCGATTTGTCATCTCTGAATCTGTGAGATCACCCGTAACTAGCGAAATTAGAGCGTCGGCAGCGTTAGAGGGTGTCGTGTCAGCTCGATCAGCAATATCAGATTCAAAATCCCCTCCCTCCGATAAGCCGTCGATCCCCCTCACTTCCCATCATCCCGTGACCTTGTGCAGGCTGTCTACCCCAACATCCCTACGCAGTCATCGATCCACGACCGTGCTCATTGCCCATCATCAATAGTCAGATCCTTTGCCCAGACAGTTGATCGTCGACAGGGTAGTCATACCTCATTTCTATGTGTAGACCCGTACCAGAATACAGTGAGTGGATGTCCTTCCCAAAGTAGCATATCTACACGCAGGGATATATCCCTTGAGCCGTGTGCGAAAAAGAAAAGAGAAAATACTACGTACCAAATTATACCGTCTCAAGCAAAAGCAACACCTCAGCTGCATCAACAAGTCCAAAATTGGAACACAGTGACGTGGACCACTAACGCACCAGAATGCTGCAATTCCCCCGCAGAACCAGCAGATAGGCAACCAAGCAGATACTCACACGGGATTAAGCAATAGAGCTAAGTAATACATACACCACGTGGGTATGCATATGTACATGGTACATATTCTTCCACCCATTTAATGTGCTTATTCTGTGTACCATGCGGAGAAATAATACTTCTCCGAATATCCAGTGTTTGCAGGATTGTTCCCCTCATCAGCTGTTCACATATTCGAAACATCAGATTTGTCCACGAGGATCTCCAAAATATCCATGAGGGGTAAGTAGAATGCAAGATACATACACAAGCTGCATAATGAATCCATTAATAGAATCCTACACAAAACACAGTAGTGTATGTGCCAACATGTGATAAGAAAAAAGAAAAGAAATAGACTGAAATTAGCATTCAATAGATTGGAAAAATCTTCCGTCACACGGACATATACCAACTGAGAAATACATATTTCTCTTCTTATATTACATCATAGTAGAATAAACCTTTCTTCAAACTCAAGATAATCGATAGTACTACTAGTAGATAGATAGAACTCGATCAAACCTTGAATCCCTACAGGGTACTCACAGAATGAAATGGAATCCACAATGATAACACTACTAGTACCAAGAAAATATACATGGACAAAGAAGTCGGTCAGATGGGATCTTCAGGATCTACTCTGTATGAATAGGGTTACCATGCTTAGTACTAGTGATATCACACTTTGTGTGTGTGAAGTAGTGTGTATTCGAAATTGATCACTATCATTATACCAACAAATCACCACCCAAACAGGTAGAAGCCAAAAAGAAAAAAGGAAAAAGGAAAAAACAAAAGAAAAGAAGATATCTCCGTCAACAGTATGCTCAAGATGGAATATACAGCGGCCTAAGCCGACTGGTCTAAGCTTTTACGTGTAGTAGCTCAATTCCACTTCCATATCCTAATTAGCCACTGTAAACCAAACCAAATGATGATGCATTACTAGTAATTTCCCACAAAGAAATCAAATCAAATCACATCTAATCAAACCCATCTCCGGTAACATAACCACCCAGACCACGATATTAATGAAATATAATCTACCATTAAGGGTTCTCATCATTTACCCAGCAGATTACCTACATTAGTCTACGTAGTAAGTACTCTGTTAAAATTGACATGGTAAGCACTACTAAATAACTAAAACCACTCATATCCTTAGTTACTACGGAGTAATCTACTGAGACACCTCCCCGACACGGGTAAATTGCTTCTCAGGCCTAAATCAGCCTAGACCGGAATAAAAGACTTAATAATGAAGGTGTGATAATAATATATTGTAATATAATGGATATATAATGGGAGTGGATTACTGCGTAATATCATATAATAGCCAAGACAGGCGATGGATTCGTGCACGTGCGTTTTGCCTAGATAGTAGACTACTAACTAACTAGGCAGATATCTTTCCGGACTCTACGGACATACTTTAGAAAAGCCAAGTAAGTAACTAGGTAACTAACTTACTATCCAAGCACATGAAGGAAGCCATCGTGGGTACTGTAGTGTTTTCTTTTTCGCATCTACCTTAGTGAGATGGAGATAGTAGTTAGCTAAGTGCCCGGGCCGGGATCCCGTAGGCTGAGATGTCCCATTCCCATCCACACCCAATAAAACTCCATCATTGTCATCATCGCCACGAGGTATTTAGCGATGGTATCCAGTCTCCGTATCTTCTATCTCTCAGGCGAGTATCTCTAGTGGCGCCATATACTAACTAGTAGATAGTCCTTGGGCCCCGCCGCACAAGCTGAACTGAATGGACAGACGAACTGCGACCGAGCTTTTTTTTTCGCCAAAGAAGAAAGATTCTTTCTGATTCTCGCTCAGAGTTCAGATAGGTGGATAATTTATTTGTTGGGACAGGGAATGCAGGATGAATGATTCGCCTGTTCGGGGCCCAGCTCATTTCTTGGCTGCAGGAATTAGTGCACGACCGGACCACGATCTAGAGCGGAGCCCAAGCGCATGTTGACTGGGAGTCATACGAGGGGACTTGTATCTATCTAAACTAGATACAGATGGGTGTGTGTGTGTCCGTGGTCTACTGTCCTTAGTATCTAGGCTAAGTTAGTTGGGCTAATGGTTGGTGTGCTCCGTCTTCTTGCAGCGACCTGCATAGTCTCGCCCTGCATAGCATTTGCCGGCAGCCTTCGCTAGGAACAAGCTTCCCGGTCGGAGTAGAGAGTCTTGGACACCTTCTAAGGAAGGGAAGGGATGCGAACTAAATGCTCTAGAAGGATTGGCTTCGTTTGTTGCTGGAGAAACGCGCTCGCTTCTTGAAGAAAACCCTGCAGGAAGGTTTTTTTTTCTTTGTGTGCGTCGTACCTGGCATGCTTGCTCCCTTGCTAGCTAGCTAGCTAGCTTGTGGATGGTAGTAGCTCTGCTCGTGTTGGAATTGCCGCGTGAGAGAAATTTTTACGGCTTACTTCCCGACCCGAACTCCGTAGCTGCCGAGGTCCGCAGGGAAAAAGGAAAGGGAAAATAAAAGGAAAAAGAAAAAAAGGAAAATCCCAAGCGATAGTGCAAGCAAGTGTTGTGCGAAACTAGTGGCTGGAGAGAAAGCAGCTCTTTGGCTGAATGGTTATTGTTGTTATAATGACTGTTATGATAAGCGCGAGGTTCATTACTCTTTGACAGCTCTGCTTTCCACCTTCAAAAGGCCCGACTGATTAACTATTGAATGTTTAATTTGCAATCCGACTAGCTTAACGGACATTTGCTCAGGGATTACCCTCCTGTCAGTGTCAAAAGTGTCAAAGGGGGGTTCATTTTAAATGACGATGAGCAGTGGGAGACTGGGTCCCGGGCCAGTTTGAGCTTGTTCGTACGCCATCAATTGAGGCTGTGGACGGGAGAGCAGGCAGGAGGGAGAGAATAAGGGGGGGGAAGCTGGTAGCTCGTAGCTGCTTCAGGGAGCAGCTCGGAGACGCGGCTGGCGACGTTCCGAGTTTGAGCTTGACACGAACAGGCAAAGAAGAGAGAAAATCGGCGACGCGGCAGAACGGTCGCCAAGAGGTGCTCCAAGTGGGGATGCGTCCCTTTGTGCCGCGACGAAACAGACCGAGAACGGAGTCTATCCCCAAACCTCTTCCGTAGTATTTCCCACAGGATCCAGAATCGCTGTCCGTCGGGTGGCATCCGCCACCGCCGCACACGGGGAATCTACCCATCTGGAGCCGATGGGGGTCGACCCAGATGGAAGTGTTCGTCTCGTGTCTAGCAGTATCTAGTCCGATGTAGCATGAAGATAGCTACTCTCTAGGTTAAATGCTGATCCTGCCGATAGCAACATCGTACTTTTTTTTTTCTTTTGCTGTTACGCGGATAATGACTGATAGTGTCGCATGTACCGGAATTATGCTCAACGTCACGGCGATCAACGGGGAGAAAGTTCTCCGTGGTTTTCCGCTGAAAACGAACCAACTGTAGACTACAGAGAGTCAGAATACTGGGATAGAGCAATGAATATCAGATAGATACCCTGCAGGGAATTAATTCCCTCAAGAGGATGCTCAAAAGGAAGATTAAGCATATTGAGCAAACCCACACAGCCGCGTTGCCTGCATCTCACACTGCATCTAGGACCGTAGTTTGTATTAAGGGCGCTTGGAGAGAACGGCATGACCCTTCGGTTTGAGACTCGGAAAGCATCAGATTTCGGGCCCGGTCCCATTCCCCCTACCCACCCTGGGATCAATCAGTGATTGCTCAGCAAGCGCAAGCATGTAAGCAAAAAAGCAGGTACAGTCGCAGCCGGGTCAGCTAACTAAACTACTAAACCTCAGTTAGGCACAGTCCCCGTCGCAGTACGTAGTAACTTAAGCAGCAAAAGTGATGCGAGAGGTAAGGGCCCGCAATCACCGCACCTGCCAAAGCAACTGTACTACTACTACTTACGACTCTCTCCACCAGTCAGCCAGCTAGGACTTCTCCAATGAGCCACAGCGTCCAACTAAATGTAGACTAACCCTTAGCTTGTATGGGACCAGAACTGGGTCCATCTTCGGTCGGGGTCACACCTCCTTGCGGCAATGAGGCGTGGGCTCAGCTTTTCGGGTTAGATGCTACTTGGCCATCGTGCAGTACAGTCTAAATTGGACGGAAAGGGAAGGGAACTGCTGGGATTGTTGGATGGATGGTCACTTTCTTTCCCTTTATTTTCCTTCGCAAGAGATCCGAAGATCGAAACTGGGAGATAGATAGGAAAGAGACATACCATCAACGTCGTAACTCTGGGTGATGATGGATGGGATTCAAAATTGAGGAATACCCACGAGAGCCACATTACAAACAGAGTAGGTACTCACTGGCTTGGGGGTGACATCCAGTAATGGAAGTGACAGCACACTCCGCGGATGATCCGGCTGGAGACTGATGTTCGTAAGTAATTTAATTTACCCGTACCCTTTGAAGGAGGGAACAGCCGCACCGTTTGGCGATCGATTAGTAGATGCACTACGAGGGACTACAGCACTACTAGTAATAGGGAGGAGGGTGGCTGGTAGTGAGGGAAGAGAAAGAAAGAAAGCACGGGTAAACGAGGAAAGCACCACATCATACGAGATGGCAATCATAATCTATAGAGCCCCATAATGATATACATAAACATACAAGGATTGTGGAATAATCCATACCATATGGCATGAGACCTGGAATGTACACAGTTATTATTGCAGCTGGAGAGAACCCAAGTAGCAGTCAGTTGGAGAGAGACAACAACAACAACCACTCCAGCTCAGAAAGAGAGATACATCCATTTTACCGTATTACTGACTTAGTACTAAGGCAGCACTACGGCCGAAGACATCTGATGGGTTACACCAATAACAACGCAGGCCTCGGAGGTTCGAGTCTCCAGTGGCAGCTTTTTACTATCATCATTGGTTGTTTCCCCAGACCTCGGGCGCCTCTAATCTCCACCTGCCCTTGCTTTCCCCGGGCTTGGAAAGTCAATCGTTCTTAGGCGATACCCGGTCGTCGACTAGCAGAGAAAAGTGAGAGAGAGAGACACACACACACACACACACACACACGAAGGATTTGCCATCTGAGAGGTTGTGCGCGTGTGAGTCTGCAGCCCTTGCTGGACGAATGGAGCCATGTTCCTTCCACCCTGCATTTGGGCCCTATGGGGTTTATTCCCTTCATCCCATTAACCTAGGTAATTAAACAGCCCTCTGAGACGATGGCAAAGCCCTTCTTCTCCCCCGCTTGCCCATGGTTGCGGAAAGTCTAATCCTCCATACCTCCAATGGGAGGTTCATGGACGAACGGAGAGAATACCGCAGAATGATGGAGGATCGGCGCCTCCCTCTTGTCTCTGATGGCGGTGGTGGTGAACAGCGTCCAAGTTCTCGCCAGCGAGACCCATTGTGTTAGTCTGGCTTCTAGTCGTCAATTAGGGACATTCACACACGGGAGTGGCCCGTCAGGTGGATTCCTGCACATCGTTTTAAAAGCCAACGCTAAATTCGGCCGCTCCACTCCTGCGCATCGCCGACAAAGCATGATAAAGTAATAAAAATCATGGTGACACCGTAATAATAAAAAATAATAATATGAAATAATAACAGACCAAGATTAAGCCCCCAAAAGACAGATGGGGTGAGGGGGAAAGGAAAAAAAGAAAAATTTCCCAAATTTTGCTCAGATCAACGCCAACCAACGGATCCCATGGAGAAAAATGTCGAATGAAAATAAACTAAAATAAAATAGAGAATCAAATAAAATAAAATAAAATAAAATAAAATAAAGAGGAGACTTACCAAACCAACTAAAATCCCAGGCTAAACTCAACTAACGGTGCTTCCTCCCAAATCCGGTAGAATTGCTGGCTCCCTGCAACCTTCGCTCGTCCGGGTTGGGTCTCATCCCAAAGTCCGTTAATCCCAGCGAGAAGCACTGTCAGGCCGGGCCACTTCCTATTTCTTATTTGACCTTCGCCTTTTCCCCTCTTCTCCCTTGTTCTCTCCTCACTGCTTCTATTTATTCCTCTTACATCTTGCACGGTCCCCCGTCGTCGTCAAGATATCTTGCTGATCCGGCCAGCAGTGCTGTGCGCATCATTTTCTTTTTACCTCCTCCCCTTCCCCTCTCCGTGGTTTCATATATATTCATCTCCCTCCACCGTCCAGCTAGCTGGATTGCTCTTTGATCTTAAACCATTATAATCAATCTCCCTCCTATACCTTTTGATCCTTGATCGGATTATCTCCTCCCGATAATCATCATGTCTGCTGAACACCCTATTGAGAAGGATATGGCTCCTGAGAACGGCAGCAATGGCAGTGCTCCCTTGACCCACGAGTTGACCGCTGAGGAAACCGCCAGAGCTGCTGCGCGTTTCGGCTACGGACCCATGGCTCACGTCAACACCAAGGAGGCCAACCTGCGCCCCTTCGGAGGTGAATTCCAGCCTGGTCTGTACAAGTCGGTCGAGCAGCGCAAGTTCGCCAACCCGGCGCCTCTGGGTCTCTGCGCTTTCGCCCTCACCACTTTCCTCCTGAGTTTGATCAACATGGGAACCCGTGGTATCTCTGCGAACAACATTGTCGTTGGTCTGGCTTTCGGATATGGTGGTCTCGTTCAGTTGCTTGCTGGCATGTGGTAGGTACACCCCGTTACCACAACTCCCAAGATGAATTATGCTGATCGTTATTGATAGGGAAATGGCTGTCGGAAACACCTTCGGTGCCACTGCTCTGTCCTCCTACGGAGGTTTCTGGATCTCTTTCGCCATTGTCTTGACCCCCGGTGGGTTCGAGATCGAGTCGTCGATTGAATCCGCCGGTGGCGCCACCATGTTCTACAACTCGATGGGACTGTACCTGCTGGTAAGTTTTGAGCAATGGCTGGGAGAGTGAGCATCGCGCTAACTGTCCTCCTTAGGGCTGGTTCATCTTCACCACCATCCTGCTGTTCTGCACCTTGAGGTCCACTGTCGCCTTCTTCTGCCTCTTCCTGTTCCTGGACCTGACCTTCTTGCTGCTTGGTGTTGGTTACCTGCAGCGGAACTCTGCTGGCGAGCCCAACACTCCCGTCATCAAGGCGGGTGGTTTCTTCGGTCTCCTGGCTGCATTCGCCGCTTGGTACAACGCCCTGGCTGGTATTGCCGACAGCAGCAACAGCTTCTTCATCATCCCTGTTGCTCACTTCCCCTGGTCTCCCACTGCCCGTAGCCGTGCTAAGACCCCTCGTGAGACCGTCTAAGCCAGTCGCGTGGGTCCAGGCCATCGACATGGTCGCGATGAAAAGAGCCTCTTGAAAGAAAGAGTAATACACCTGCAGTTGTTATGTTTCAGATACCCATTCTAGTAAGGCCATTGCTGTGCGGGGAATGGTCCAGGTTGTAGACCATTTGAGAGGGTCTTGTGAAGACATGCAAGCCCTCTGCAGCGGGTCCAAACAATCCAGAGCAGTGTTTTGTTTATTGTGTTGGTTTCCATTGGGATATATAATATCGGAACCTGGGTTAATAATGATGGAGCAGTTCGTCGTCGAGTGCGACGGATATGGGACGCGTTGGTTTTGGATGTTTAGTTTTTTGTTAATGAAATGGTTAACCATGAATGAATACATGATTGATGTCAGCTTGACCATAAGTCCATGCTAGTGAGCCTACCTACCATTGAAACCCATCCTCACCCTGAGCATGAACAAACACATGCAAAGACACCCACAAGTCTTGCGCAGTCCCGAAAGACCTTATATACCGGAGCCCAAACAAAGAAAGAGTAAATAAGAAAAGAAAGAGAAAAAGAAAGCAAGAAACTATAACCTGCACGCAGCGCAACACAATGCAGTCTCACCCTCAAACCTTCGAAGAAAAGCTTCAATAGTTAGTAGTAATTCCCGACCGCAGGAAACAAAGAAACAATATCCCGGTCGCTCATACTTCGTCAACGTTGTAACTCTCCGACGTTGCACAAGTTTAATACCATGGAATAAATGAACGAGTTCAATCAAAGGCAAGTTAGTGTAAGTTGTAGGGCCGTTTCCTGTCAATTAGTAGTAGTAGTTCTGTTCACTCTCTTTGTGAATATACTTTGTTAGTGTATAGGATATAGTATAGCAGCAGTAGAACAGTTCTGAACAAGCAATGCACACACTCCGTGCAGAGTATAAGAGAATCTTGTTCCAATATACAGATAAAGAAATAATCTGAAGACAGGATTAAATAGAGTGAGAGAGAGAAGAAAAAAAGAAGCGCAAGGCTGGCAGCCATCGAGACCAAGACGTAACTAAGTATTTATCTCACCGACCGGCGCGCGCGGCAGAGACTCGGCGTTCGGGCGGGATTAGCTCGGACGGCGAATTCTCGGAAATGTCAGAAAAATAACCTCACCTGCACTAAGTTAGTAGTTCATTACTACTACGTAGTAGTTTTAGTTAAACTGATCCCGATCGATCGTCCAGTCCGCTGCTCCTGTCCGGGTTCTGCCGATGTGGAAAGGATTTCGGTGGACTTTGTTATGTAGTTGGTGTTCGTGTTAGTGGATTCTTCTTTTTCTTTTTCTTTTTTCTTTTTTTTCTGCAAGGCTATCTTCAATCATGTTTTTCGTGTTTGGGGGGGGGGGTTTCCCTTTTTTCTTTTGTTGGTGTGGGAGAGGGCGTGGCTGGTTGGGGTTGTTTCATTGGGAGGCAGCTGCTTGATCGATTGCTATGGGTGAGGGATTTTTTGCACAAGGCTTGGTTTTTGAGGCTTACTGTCCTGTTTTCGGGCTTGGTCGGGTTAGGATCCCGGATGGGGTGATATCTGGGATGGTGGGTATTTGGTTGATCGTCTTGTTTTCATTATCAAGGGATCATGTGTGGGTAAGGAGTAGTAGTATGGGAACCGTGAGAACTAATGGCAGCAGTGTCATATATACCGTGTCTCATTAATATATCATACATGCCACATGTAACATGCGATCAGTCCTATGTTTGAGTGTTATGTCGGGTCTATATACATTCGTGCGGTGCGCGGAGCTTTATCTCAATTTCATCCCATAGTTCTCGTAGCGGAGTCAGATAACTCCGGTCCGCATAGAAAAAGCCCAGAAGTAGGGCTCGGAGTTCTTGCCACGAGTGGATGCTTCCGTCTTCTCGAAGTACCGAAACAAGCTCGTTCACGAAAAATGTCCGCTCCGGTAGCAGCCGCGAACTGCACGCCCCGATGAACAGGATCCAGATCAGCACATCCCGGCACAGTTCAAAGTATCCAGCACTCATCGTGCTTTCCAGCGCTAAACGAAGCGCAGTCACAGGTTTGGGGAACACCGGCGCGATGTGCGGGTAGAAGCCCCAAATGACGGTGTTATGGAACACCAGGCATGCCAGCCGAACGCAGCCTTCGATGGTGGCTTCCATCTTGATTTCGCCTGTCGCCGTGTAACGGTCCTCATGGAGGGAGTACTCGACGTACAGGACTTCGGTGTTGAAGTAGTCCTCCGTCTCATCGTCAAATTCTTGGTATTGCGTTGTACTTTTGATCCATTCGCAGTACCACGTCAATGCAGCCAGGTCATATATCATCTTGGACATGGCATCCCCAAAGATGCCGGGTATCTCAATTAATTGTGTCAAACGCGTAGCTAAAATTAGTAGATCGTCATTAGGAGGCATAAGTGCCAATTGCGAGGGACGGGCGTAACGAATAAAAGGGAATATGGGCTTGGTGCCGGCCATGCACGCCACACGGATGTCAGTCCTACTTGAGTCAGTCGCGGCCCACAGACTCCACCAGAGCTTGGGATTAAACTGACCATGATATCTGGAATCGAACGTCGGGCGGCACATCCGCGAAGGTTTTCCTCATACCTACCATCTGCCGGAGGCCCGCCAGATGGATTTTGAGATAGTCGGCATTGCCAGATGCAATCTGACCCGTTAGCTAACCTCTGGCATGAGTGTTCTAGAGTACGAACCTCAATCGTCAAAAGGATTGACACGGCGGCGATCAGCTGGTCACTGGAGGCCTTGATCGGATCCGACAATCCCTCATTGACTAGTTTGATTGTCTCACCCCGATGGTGGAATGTGTCCAGAAGTAGCACGCTAGAACGCCGCTTATTGGGGTCCGTCAGCGGGAGCTCCCCTGCTGCCAAGGCGGAATTCGACGCCGCTACACATATACAAGCGTGCAATGATACTGGATCTTGTTGGACTAATGCGGTCCAGTGATCCCGCAACTTAGGTCCATACCGGCGCTGCAGAGGATATGCCTGCTGAGTCAGGTCGAAAACTGCACAAGATCGTTAGAACTACGCCTTTCAAACTATTGTAAGCCAACCTACAGTGCTGAAGGTGTCGACACATACGGTCCGACATGACCGTATGCATCGAATTGAACGGGTCGGTGGCACCGCCCAAATAAGCCCACGGAGTTGCAGACTGCACGGGCGCGAGAGCATTTTGCGAAGAAGGAGTTTCGATGCTGTAGTTGTCCACTGTCTCGGCAGAAACAGCTGGGTAACTGCCCGCGTCCGTAACCACCAGCTCTTGCTGCGGTACTTCCTTCTGTCGCTGTTCGGGCGATGATGAACCAGAGGATGAAGAAGAAGAGGAAGGAGAATCGGAGACAATTCGCGTGCCGAAGGAGGAGGATTCGGTGACACTTGGTTTCGGGAAGGATCCGGTAGAAGGGGCCGAAGAAGCCGGAGCTGCAGCTGACGAGCTGGAGGCTGTAGTTTCCACGGGCTGAAAGGCAAGGTGTTTCCAGGTTTTGCTCTTGTAGCGTTTCGTATTTTCTAGCCTTTTCTTGCGGTTGTGCTCGGACATAACATGGGAACGAATGCGCTTGAGTGTCTCCTCCCTGGTACCTTCGGACACGGACTGTGGATCGGTATGCACCCAGAACAATGTCGATTTCCCCGCGGCGGCATTGTTGGACTTCCGCGGTTTGCGGGGTTTCGTGACCCCGTTCCTGTTTACATCCTGCCGGGTAGATTCGGTGGTGAAGGTCTGCGCGTCGGCATGGACGGGGGCCGGAGGTATTGATTGCTGGGGCGGCGGCGGGACAGGGCCATAAGCCAACGGTTGGCTGGATGTCGAGATCGGATAATTGTAGGGATGATGATGATGTTGATAGGTATTATTATTAATAGTAACCGGATGGACAGCAGTGGTGGGAGGGGCCCAAGCAGCTGGTTTGCTCAGCACAGGCAAGACGTGCTCGTGGTCGGTGGCCAAAGAGCGCGCCGTTGGCTGATAGAGGTGGGAATTTCTAGCGTCCATCGCACGCGCGAGTCTAAAAGTATTATTCACAGATCCAGCTGGCGATCTTCATCGACGTTCATCGTTCTAGAATGGGCGAAAATCGAACGATAACCGTTTAGGCGGAAGGTGGGAATTGAGGATGATGAGAGAAGAATCCGGGGGTGAAAGGATGGATGAAAGAGGGAAAAGCTGAATGGTCAGCGCACTGCCCTTATCAGGAAAAGCCCATCTCTCGGAAGGTGGATGTTCAGGGAGGAGGTGGAAGGGAAGGATGCCGAAAGAGAAGTAGTGGTAGTACTAAGTGATAGTAATAACGAGGAGTGAGAGTGTGAGTGATTGGGGAAGGGCCGATGATTGATTGATTGAGTGGGAGGAGGAGGAGAGGGGCTGCAAAGTGGAGGGGACAAGGAACTCGAATTGGGTAAGGCCCAGCGAAGAAAAAAAATTTTTTGAAAAAGATAAAAAATGAAAAGGAAAAAAAGAAAACAGAAATTATCAAGCAGCCAGTCGAGGAGATTTAATTCCTGTTCCTTGTTTTCCCTTTTTTTTCTTAACCCCCGTTCCTTTTTTTTTCCCTTATTTTCCTTCCCGTTCTAATTTTCTGCTTGTCTGGACGCGTAGCCAATGATCGGTTTGTTTGGCGGCCAACAATACCGGAACAAATGCAGGCACAGGTACATAAACGAGTCACCCTGACAGGTTCCTAATCGCTTCTTCGATCAATCACAGAATAAGGTCGAAACAATATGATGATAACGGCGCACAACAATGGTAATCCCTCATGATGAACAACAATACAATGACTGCAACAGAATAGACACGAGGTCCAGATCTCGGATGTTGCAGTAGCCGGTGCCGGGTGGAGCAGCAACTTAAAAATTCTCGATGCGAATTGGAGACTCTAAACATGAGTAATACATTGCATTACGAGTATCCGCAGGTTATTAATAGTAGGGGCGACCACATTTAATATCATCCAGAAAGTAGTGCCCCGACTTGTTATGCACCTTAGGAATCAGATAGATAGTATCGAACTTTTCAGACAAACAATGAGAGTGTGTGATGAGATACTACTTCCTACATGTTTGATCGATACTACCGTAAGCACACACAACCACACACACTAATCATTTGACCACTCAGGCACAACCCTCCTCCTCTTCCTCCCCCCCCGTACTTCCGCGGGTTCTCTCTGGCACATACAGAAAACCGCGTTAGTCGGAAGTTAAAATCCAGCCCCAAGACCAGCAGGAGACATCCGAAAAACCCATAACAAACCGGCGGGCTCCACTCTCTCCGATCGGAGGAGATCGGACAAATATTCCCTCCTGGATCGTTTTGGAGGGTTCTCCTTGCGCGGTCAAAAATATGATGTATCTCCTCCTCCCCTTCCAGACCAACCGAACACCGAGAACACCACTTCGGTTAAGTGTGCTCAATATAATTGTGCATCGCCAGTCAACCACCAACATAGCCAGAGATATATTAATATCTGTCAATTGCCCGACTCCACGGCAATCAAACTTGCGACTCCACGTACGTCATGTCAAGAAAGTCTTCAGGGCTGACACTTTTGCCGGCTCCTTTCCCAACAGGCAGGCACGCCCGTCCGTCGGGGAGAAACTAAAATCGAGCCAAGACGGTTTGATCCACCGCCATTACGATTGACCGCAACGGTTTGAGCACGTCATTCCAGATTGTCCGTTCCGCTCTGTACGACCCTCCTAAGGAATAACGGTTCTTATTATGTTTTAGATCAAGTTTGCCAGACAATTAATAGAGTAATTAACTATTTAGTGTTGTTGATATTCGGTTTCATATAGTCCTCTTTTTCTTTGATGATGTTTCACTCTCACACCATGGTTTCCCACACTCAGATCCTTCCACTAGTGTGTGGTAAGCAAGAAACTAACAACGCCCCAACAGCCACTCAGCCAGCCAACCCGCCAACCAAACAGCAAAAGCACGCACAGGATGCTATGCTGCCTGCATCTACCTGCACTGCGCCTTGACTGCTACCTTTCGTGCAGCGATCGCCCATACTTGAAGTATACAGGGATAAAAACCAACAATCCGCTCTTGGCTCCCCGTGACTTTTCCCTCCCTCTCTCCTTTCCTCTGTGTATGTGCCGTTGGCTTACATACTTTCCCCTGCGGATTTCATGCACACGAGTCAGGCCAGTCTCAAATGTACATGCCTCCCGTTTGTTATCGTTGCAGTTGCACAGAGTTACATCGGGAGGTGTTGTGGCCTACTAAACTTGACCGCAACATGGCCGCCAGGTTACGTCCGAATCGGTCTCCCTGCATGTGTCTCTAACCACGTAGTAACTAGTGGGCGTTTTGCTATTTACTCATTAGTCTCCATAAGACTCCATCCAGATCGGGCACTCAGGTCCGCACGCTAGGACCAATATGCGGTTTTATCACTGTGTAGTATTACGATGATATTGTAGTTGTGGCTTGGTAGATATATCGCTACGAATGATATTAACTAACTAATTAATTCAGTCAGTTGCTTAGTTACTACTAAGTAGTTAGTTAACTGACTAGTGTGTCACGGCGATCCTGCATCCGCTGACTAAAACGCCGAGGAGAGAAAAATTTTACGAGAAGTTCCGATATATCTCATCTTGATTGAAGCACGGGACAAAGAATGTTTTGGGATGATGACGGCTGTCATATCCGCTTGCTACTGGGCTAGGACCGATCCTTTGGGTTAGCTGGATGTGCAAAAGGGGTTGGGCGTGGATATAACTGGCTCCTCACTCAGTGTTCTACTAGATAGAAAGAGAATCATACGGAGTCCGGAGTAACTCGATCCCAAACCTCCATTGCTAGTATATTAAATCACTCAAAATGTCGAAAAAATCTTTGAGTGGTTTATACTCTTAGCGACGAGTAGACATCTCAATTCCCAAAACTCAGTCGGCAGGTATATACACATCTAGAAGTGGATACGGGATGGATTCCCACTCTCTAGGTGGGCCAAACTAGGATAAAAACCGACTAGCTAGACTAGTAGCTAGCCATCTTGACCAACAATTCTTCACCACACGAAAACAGCAGCAGCAGCAGCACAGTATCAACAACACGTACCTCGTACCCCTTATACGAAGATACGCATAGAAGAAGCCTATCTAGTACCAAGTATCTAGTTACTTAGTTAGGAAGGAAACACGGATCCCGCAACGCCCATCAAACTCTATCTAGACTCATACTGAAACACCAACAGCGGCAACTTCCTACTAACTAAGGAGTACTAGGCTACTAGCAGTCATATCAACCCACCCGTGGACTGTGATTTAATTAATGTCTATCGGAACGAGCCGATCGGTCTGCACCCGGTCCACCGTTAGTTGATCCAGTCCAATGCGCGCCAAGGTACAAGTCAACCAAACAGATCGCAGGTTTGCTGGTTGGTTGAGGTCTGGGCACATCTGCTGAGAGGTGTTGGATCGGGTATGCCGGCTTCGCCTGGATGAAAAAGAAAAGAGAGTGTGTAAGTTGAGTGTTAAATGTGGATAAAGTGGACTTGAGGACATTGTCTGGACGCGTCGGAGATTCAAACCTGGTGACAAGTTACTTGGCCCGGCATACCGGGATGAAAAGTTCCGTGCGTATGAATGATGCGGGTTTGATTGGTTGGTGGTGGATGGGTGCTCGGAGATTTGATCGTGTTGGAAGCTGTCTACTAGTACTACTAGTAGTACTTAGTTTTACTATCTAGCGTGGTTTATAGAGTATGGATTGGTGGTTTTTTGGGCTTTGTGGTCGAGTTCAAAATGCTCGGTTGTTTGCTTTCTAACGGACTCAACAGAGGACGGACGGAGCAAGGCACTAAATATAGTAGAGTACTAGTAATAGCCGAGGAAGATTGGAGGATTGAGATTATATTATTAATGCCCAGATATTGGCCTCGCTTTCTCAATAAAACACGAGTCATTGGCTCTGAAGCAATATCCGATAATTGAACCTCGGATTTCCCGGCTGCATGAGAAGGCAAAAATTTGGGAGTCTGGGTTCGCCGCTGCGGCTTTTCAGCAACGGATTCAATCTGGTGCAATTTCTCTGTCTCGTTTCTCGTTAGAACCCCATGCTATAATCTCTTGATCCTGCTGCTGAAAGGAAGTAAACATTCCTTTCTCGGACACTTTGTAACTTGGGGTTTATATGCTCGGGAATCATAGTAATCCTTGTATAGACGAACCATTGGGAACAGACACATAACTAAACCCCGTTATGCCTGGCTTCCTGCTCTTTTAAAGAACCTGGACAGACTTAATAGTTATGATAGCTGTCTTCAAGAGGTTCTTTGAGCTTTAAGCAAAGAAAGAGACCTGCTGGATACACTATGCCCAGCACTGGGAATGCGCAGACCTACGTCTATAAAGCCCCCTTGAGTTTGGGAGCAGTAATGTGAGGGATATTTACCAGCTCCTATCCGTACTAAATGTAAGTTGAAAGCAACGAAGCCCTTAGACCAGAATATATACCATGGTACCCACGAGATATGACACATTTCGACGAATTTCTCGAGGAGCAGGAGGAGAAATGGTCAATAACAAAGTACCAAGCCTTGGTTGCTTCTGTAATAGAACACTTTCCTAAGCCAGCAGTAAGCGCACTCCGCCCTCATCCTCGAGCAGTATCAAGCAGACTTGACTGGGGATTGTGGTTGCCGGGAAATATCTGACTAACATACTATTCCCACCACAATTAGGTTTGCGATGGCCAATTGAGTGAGTAATAGAGAGCCAGTGTACTGTGGATGCTAGAGTATCCTAATCCTCCAGCTTGTATTGGCCTTAAGATGTTATCTACTTAGTTGTCTGTGGTGTAAAGCCATTCTGAATTCACTTGACTGCCAAAAGTGGGAGCATATGTCCTACGAAAGCCTCGCTGATGGCTCTCTCCACATTGACCCCATGGCAGCAATGACATCAACGATGAACCCGAAAAGTTGTATACAAGGCTATCATACGATCACAATAGTACTGGACGCATCCTGATGGGTAGCGGCGTCCAATTTGCTGACTGATTATCAATCCTCGAGGGAAAGCCACATAATTTTCCGTCCAAGGAGTCACGCTTTGTCGTCAGTCTCATATTAGTTATACTACGTATGCGGGGACTATTCAGTTGCTCTATAGCAGTAAAGGCGAAGATCTCAGACTGAGCGAACGACTAATTACACAGGGAGTCAGTCGAGCAATCGATCGTCGAGGGTTAACTAGGAGGGGTTCACAAGGGCCAGGTCGTCGATCTCCCCTTGCTGATAGCCGGCACTCATGCAGGTTGGTCCCAAGTACTGCCCTCATATTACTGGCTAGGTTTTACTTATCATAGATACAAACGGGAAGTGGTTTCAAGCTGCTGCAATCCTTTGTTATATTGTCTTGTCACCGGACATCTGCTATCGCTACATGGTCAACGGTCGGGGCCGCACTGCGAGCCCCGCCATTATGCTTTCAAACACTCAATGAAGAAACCCAATGCAAGTCAATAAAAAGAGTATTATAAGGAGACATAGGTATGTCCTAACACACTATCTTGTTTCCGTGTGGCGTTGTAGAGATCAGAATTGTTTGTAAGCAACGCTATGATAGCCCCGGGCGCGGGAAGATTGGCACAGTGTCCAGTTGCTCCAAACCTCCCATTGTGCCCTGTTGTCCACCGACATGCCACCCTTGACCTGTCTGCTGGTTCACAAAGGCGCTCTGACGGAAAGGATTCGTGCTCCCTGTAGGGTTTGGTCGCAGAGGAGCCGCAGCTGGAGGTTGCAGGCCCTGTGACTGCGGTGGGGGAACAGAGGACGCACGGGCAAACGGATTGGTTCCCGTTCGCTGAGCTTGAAGTGGCGCTGGCTGTTGGGGCGCTTGCGGCTGCGCCTGCGGGAAGGCTTGAGGGACACCGGTTTCGACCTGAGGGTTGACTGTTGATAAACGTCGTGCGAAGGGGTTCGTATTTTGGCGGTTAAGGGGGGTGGCAGGCGTGGCCGATCCGGTCGGCGTGCTCATTAACATTGATTGTCTGAAGGGGTTGGTTGACTGTGGCTGCAATTGCTGCTGGGCCATTGGCATTTGTTGCTGCTGGGAGAATGCGCTCATGTCATGTTGTGGGATGGGTGCGAGGTTTGACTGGAACCCGTATGTCTGGGGCTGCGCCGAATAACCACCAAATCCAGCCCCCGTGTGGTTGGGTTGAAGAGGTTGGGGGGCCTGCTGCTGCTGGCCAAACTGCTGGATATTCTGCGGCGCAAATTGGTTTCCAAACGCCGCTTGTTGGTCAAACCCAGTGGGTTGGGGCTGCTGGAAGCCCGTCGGTTGCGCGTAGAAGGCCTGCTGCTGCGGTGGAAATCCGGTTTGCTGGAACTGCATCGCCTGTGGTTGCTGCTGTAATTGCGCTTGCTGGAACGGATTGGTCTGGGCCATCGGCTGCTGATTCTGCTCGATTGAATCAAAGAAGTCGATAAGGTCCGATTGGTTTGACTTCTGTGTCTGTGGGTTCGGCTGGGTTTGAGGCCGGGCCGGCATAGTGTTCGAGTTGCTCACGGCCCGATCGCCTGTCGCAGTTTTACTCACAGGCGGAGGAGTTCCGCCGCTCTTCCCTTGCTTTCGTGCCAAATATTCGCGCCGGCGAAGGTTGAAATCCGGGTCATTGAGATCGTCCTCCAGAAGTCGCGTCAGATCCGTAGAAGCATGTTTGAGCTTGGGGATCTCCAATCGCGTCGCAGCCTGGAAATGCCTGGCAACTCCCAGAAACTTCACAACTTCTTCCGTTTGGGCAGTAAATGTCTTGTATATTTCCAATGCACGTTCGCTGTCGGGTCGCGACATTTCAAAATAATGCTCTGTGCGCAGTCCAGTCAGCGCATGCCATGGGTTTGCTAAGCAGAGCACCTACCAAGAACGTTTATTGTTCCTTCATTCATCACTGAATACAATGTCAGAAGATCCAAAACCAGTAAGCGAAATGCGGTCAACGATATTTCGTTCTCGACGTCGTCAGTGAGAAGCTGAAACATGTCAGTGATAAATGTCATGATGCAAGGGAAGGAATGAGATGACCCACGTCACATTTGAGCAGTGCATGGATCTGATGTTGAACTATTTCCGTCTCCCTCAGAAGTCCCTTTTCTACTGTCAGTCTCTTCATTCGACCTTGTCCGCTTCGCACATAGTCGGTCTTTGTATCCTCGAAGGCACGCGCACGCGCGATCAGATAATCGGAATATCTTCGAATATTATGGCCTTGCGATTGTACTGTAACACCTAGGTGTTAGCAATCTCTCGTGCATGTTCTGAAATTGGCTCCCACCTTCTGAGAATCCACTGATCGCAAGTCTTCTGGGGTTCTCTGCCATATACTGCAATGTAGCGTCCAGCTGTCCTTCCCTTATCATTAAGTGGACAACAATAAGAGCTTTGAAAACAATGGTCCATGTTGAGTCGCGAAGTCGAAGCTGCAGCGTCCGAAAAATCTCTGCAACACCTGCCTCGCCTGTATGTGTCGCAACAAGAATATGTTCAATGTATTTGGATTTGGGGGCCGCAAGCTGTTGATGAAGACCAGATTGTCAGCACTTGCGCAAGATCATCCATCCCCTGAAAAGGCATGGAACCTCCTACCAACCTTTATCTTGGTGGCTCCCTTCACCGACTTCTCAAAATTTTGAGACATGTTCAAAGATGGCTGTCCTCCGTCACAGCAATTGGTCGGAAACAGAAATCAGGGGAATCTGGCAGGCAGCTGGATTTGAGGTGGAGGGGGGTTTCGGGGTGGAACGATAACCAGATCGATCGAGGATGAGAGGGTACCAAAACTATAGTCGTGTTCTGAATGCTTTGCCCACACCAATTCCAAAAATAATCATGATGCGTCAAGTTGCCATGTCGCGGAACTGGTGATTCTTAGGCAACCTGTCAATAGTGAAGTGGGACGGGTTGAAGTGCCGACTTCTAGGGAGGGGGTCGGAACTTTCGGTATGACAGGGATGATCTACCAGATAATCCCCAAGAGGAAGGGTGGTGGGGGTTCAAGGATTGAAGCGGTCAAGCGAACAGGAGGGGAGAGTTATGTGATCGGGGAGAGGAGCTTCAGGCACTTCGGGATGTTGGACTTCAAAGCGGCATCGCAGTGGAGCGCCCGGTTGCACCCAACTAGGCTAGGAACCGCCTAGTGCTGTTTGGGTCGGCGCGATGATGTTATCCGACGAACTATACGTACCACGCTGTTAAGGATGATCTGTCTCACAGTAGTACAAGAGAGAGATGAGAGTTGAGTAAGGTGTTACTTCTAGTATGTTACTATCGTATAACTTCTTCGTCTTTTCATTTATTGACCTTTTGTGCCGTAAATCGAGCCTTCCATATGTTTAGTTTCAAGTGTAGCTTTGCGATGTGTCTTCACGTGACTTGATATATATATATCTAAACTGCTTTTACTATTATTCAGTTGTATCATCATTACTAAGAATCTCTAAAAGCAGTAGTATTACCACTACTACTACTTAGTGCTACTAGTCAGTTGAGTTCCATATTTTTCATCCATATAGAGAGTATAAAGGGCATAATCTTACTCATAACAAGCTCACCCAGCTCTTATAACAGATCTCAGACACTAATATCATCAGTTTATACCCCACTATAAATAATGTTTGAACAGTAGGCACTCTCATATAGCTATGATTTCCTCGCTTATTCTCGCACCCACAAGTCCCCTGCTCGAAGAAAGGCTCCAATATCTCTCGCTCACTCCACTTCTATGGCCCATCTTTTTGTTTTGCTGAAGCCTAACCTCGAGACTCCTCATTTACATTATCTTCCTACTCCTTTGATACCCGACTGTCGTGATGGAGCTCGAGACTGGTCTTGATTACAGGACTCCACGACTCCAGAATAGATGGACTCGGGAACAGAGGCTATTTCTCTGCTGTCTCTATAAGTTCTTTCAGAGAAATACAAGCGCCTTTAGAGATATATTCAATCAAGTATTTGGATCGGAGGTGACAGAATGCGGGTTTACTGAAGGCATTCCTTCAAGTACACTACGTACGCAGTGGGGTGAAATGGTGAGACATGAGTATCCGGAGTGGAGAGAAGTTCAACAGCATACATCCGAGGGACATTGGCGCTGGATTCCAACTCTGAGACGGATTAGAAGAACTGCAAGGTCACTAGGCTTACACATAGTTCCGAATTATGTCGACGACAATGAGGAAACTTCTGGAGTGCAAGAACAGGTGCTAGTGCCAGAAGCCATTGATATAACTCAGATCGATATCAGCTTATGCAGTGGCGGTGACAAAGTCTGCTTCTGGTGTGTGCAAGAACAAATTTCAGATGTGAGAGCTCCCTGGTGCCTGATAAACATGAAATAAAATCGTTAATGTCACCTTCAGCAGGAAGCACAAGAAAAGATAAATCCTCCGAGATCTCGTCCGCGCTGGACCGACGAAGTGCCTCCAGTTATTTACAGATGGTCAAATATCGACAGCCAAGGTGTTAATTCCAAAACGCTTCTCCTAGCCGGTCTTTTTGCAGATGGACGCCAAATATTCATGCCAGGAAATATATGTCAAGAAAAGTTTACTGGTTATTTTTTAAACCATGTCCACATTGAGAAGACACCATCTCCATCCATATCTACATTCCGCTCAATGCTTGCACCCATCCACAGAGCACTCTGGAATAAAGAAGGCGCTATCATATCTATCATTGATACAAAAAAGCTTGATACCAAAGTATATCCTGCAATTAAGCTTTTCAGGGAACAGAATTTGCGTATCCGAGGCTACGATGGTAGGGGCGAGTTCTTAGTATGGGGAAAGATACCATCCGCTGCTATTATATGTGCAGTAAAGATAAGCACCATACAACAGCTCGCAGATGAAAATGTTGAAATTGAGCAATTTCTACAGCTTGAAAAACTTATTACTCATCAATATAACAGAAAACAGTTGCATGATGATTTAGCTAAAGAATCCGGCCAACTTGACCGCACTTCGGGATTCAAAATCGGAAAATTCCTAGATTCTATTAATCTTCCTTTTGAGTTTAGCAGGGAGGTGAGCAAGGGCTTATTCTACTCCTGGAGACTCAAGAAATAAGGGACTTGGGAGTCCTTTTACGAGGGAGTAGATACTGGGTACGGCCGCTCTACACCATCTACCAATGTCAGCGAAGTTTCTACCAATGCCGGCGAAGTTGGTCGTCCATCCAATGTCTATGATATATCGGATGACGACTCAGTCACTGAGTGTGGGTCTGTTGCATCAAACGAGAATACTATAAGTGATGGCGACTATGAAAATATTGGTACCAGCTCACCCTGCATGGGCCGCGAGTTAGCCGCACATAGGCGGAACCCCATCTCGACTCCTGGCTGGTTCTTCATAAGAAACACTGATGATGAAATGACAATAGAAGAAGTCAGTGGACGGGAAAGTAATCTATTTTCTGAGCAGGATCCAGAGCAATCAGCTGAGCTGATTACTGATTGGCCTGAAGAAGACACTCAAGCACTGTCATCCTTGAATATATCTCAGGTTCGAGCTCCAACCATCAAGTTATTTGAGCCAGACACTGGCAGATGGGTTCAAGAACAAGCGAAAATGGATGAGGACGACGGTCAATCTTACATGCAGCCACCATCCACTAATGATACCCAGGAAATGCAGGGCATATCTGAAGTGGAAGGCGAAAGCGACATAATGCATGATATTAAGACCCTGTCCTGTGAGCTGTCTGAGGATAATCTGCCTCACGATTGGTTTGCGAGAGATCGGGAACGCCGAAGACGCTGGCTTTTTCAGTAGTCTCGTCCCTCTTTCTGCCCCACATGTGGAACGATTATTGAAGAAGATTGAAGGAATCGGCGGGGTGTGATAGGAAAAGTGCACAGTAGTACGAAGTGAAGGACCGTGATGTCTGATTAAAGAGCTGGAGGTATTTTAAGGGCCACTGGAATGTATCTAGCTGAATGGAAGGAACCTACTATAACCCTGACTGGTTGACGCGTCCGAACCAGGCACAGGCCGATATAAGCCATAAGGAACATTACAAAAGGACTCAAATGGGAGCGACAGTGACTCGATTAGAAAGGCTAGATTTCACACTAGCATACTGAACTCTCCCTCAGTGCTCTGAGCTTTCGTACAGATATAAAAAGTCTATGTGGGAGAATCAAAGTAATTTTTTCATTGGATATTCCTTCCACAAGGGTACCTGGGACATGAAATCGTGAAACAATCCCAACCCTAGAAACTAATCCGTTTATATCCAGTCACGCCGCTGCCCTAGGTTCGTCCTCGCGACAACACACCCTTCCTCATCGAGACGCTTAGAACTTGGAGAAAGCCTTGACGGCCTTGCCGGTACGGGGCAGGACACGGAGGACGTTGAAGCGGACCTGAATAGTAAGTTAGCGCATCTGACGTATATAATTTTGCGACCCATGTAGAATATCTTCAATAGCGCTGGACATAATCCGTATCCTTTCAGGCGTATAAGGAAAGGAACGCATTTGCCACCAGTAGCCATAGAAGATATCCCGAGGAAAGTTTGACGTACAGTCTTGCTCAGGGGGCGGCACTGGCCGACGGTGACCCAGTCACCTTCCTCAACACGGAAAGCGGGAGAGACGTGAGCGGCAAGGTTCTTGTGTCTCTTCTCGTAACGGTTGTACTTGGGGACGTAGTGGAGGTATTCACGGCGGATGACGATGGTACGGTGCATCTTGGTGGAGACGACACGGCCGGTCAGGATACGGCCACGGATGGAAACCAGACCGGTGAAGGGGCACTTCTTGTCTGTTCGATATCAGTGATATGTCCCACCTGGAGATTTCAAACGACATGACTGGACTTCTCCGGAGCCTTTGAGAGATGAGAATAACCGGGTTCCGCAAATCTGTCGCCAAGCGCTTTTTCCAGGTCTGATCTTTGATTCCTTCTCTTGTCGCATTCCATCCCGATCCTTTGCAGAAGATAGTTGCATTTATCGTAGACTCATGCTGGCGCTTTCCAGGTGATTTCTCTCTTCTCCATGCGGCATATTCTCATCTCCCCATAGCCTCCAAAAGATTCCCAGTCCCGGTCCCGCATGATCGGAAGTCGATAACGCCGCAAATAAAATTTCAACATAGGTCGTGCATACCGATGTAGGAGCCCTCAATGGCGGTCTTGGGGGTACGGAAACCCAGACCGACATCCTTGTACCAACGGCGGCCGGTGCCAACCTTCTTGCTCTTCGCCTGAGCCTTGGGGTTGACGAAGATGTGAGGCTGCTTCTGGAACGCACGTTCCGACTGGACGGTCAACTCGGTCGCCATTGTTGCGAGAATTCAGTCCGACGAGGAAGCGAAGTCGAGCTGGGTGGTATAATTCGTCGCGGAGGGTGGGTGTCGGGGCCTGCGGTGGTCGACGTCGATGTTGGAGAAGATTTATTCGACGATGGCGGATATTCGGCCTGTGAGTGTGCGATGGGGGCGCTAGTCTGTTTTGGGACTCGGCTAGGGCTATCCGTTTTGGTTTGTTTACATCCCCCGGTCACATGAGCGCCGACCGGGTGACGCGCGGGAAGCTCGAGGTCCAGTCCATCTAAGTGTTTATGGTGAAACTTAGGGGAGTAAACTCGTTGATTGTTGTCATTCCCCGGACTGATCCCCTAACCATCAGTTGGATATCGCGGGTGACGCTGTTTACTTGTCTGTCTGAATAACTTCTTCATATTTCATGTCCCCCTCAATATAGACTCCCATGGCGTCCCGAAGTGACTCCGCGGGGTCTTCCCGCCCGCGATCTCGTCGCTCTATCGCCCATGTCCCTCGATCGCAGTTGACCTCTACCTTGGACAAGGAGAATGCAACCACAAACATCAGCTCTTCTCAACCGATTGGTGAACGTCCGAAGCTCTCGGCGAAGGATAAAAAGTCGCGCAGTAAGAGTCTGGGACCTGGTGGTCTAGATGCGCTCCAAGATTCGAATGGCAATCGACGCAAGGTAGCTCCGCATTCTGCCACCCACCGATGCCCTTATTTATCGCTCATACTAAGATTAATCTTGTCGCGTTCAAGTCTACTGCAGCCTTCCCCCTCAAGTCTATCCTGAAACCTACAGTCCCCGTGTCTCCGGTCCGCAACATTCCCACGTTTGAGGAGACACGCAGACGGACTCCCGCTCGCGGTCCACCACACAATGACGGCACCGGTGAAGCCCCGGATCAGGGCAAAGAGGGCCTGTTAATAGATTTCGATACCCCGGCACAACCGTCTGGCTCTGTTGGCGACGACCCGTCCAATCCTTTCGATAGCTTCACCGCCGCTTCAATCCGGGATGAGATGGCCGCGGTGAGAGAGCGGGAAGAGAAGGAACAACGGGAGCGGGAGCGCAAGACGATCCTTGAGCGAAGAGAGGCGCGCCGGAAATCCATGGGTTTGTGATATCAATCTTTCCGATTTTAGCATTAAGCTGACAGACTGCGACAGCAAACCGCCGTGTATCGTTTGCCCCCGAAGCAACATTGCACACGTGGAATGTTGTGGAGATACCTGATGACTCGACCTCTTCGTCTACTTCCAACTCAACTAGACGTGCATCGTCCCTGGCAAACCAGACCCCTGCGCAAAAGAATCCCCCGGAAGATCCCCCTTCCCCGGAACTGGACGCAGAATCAGATATCGGCTTTTCCCCCATTCAGTACCCAGATCTACAGCAGCTCCAGAACCGCTCAACGTCGTCGCAGGAAATGTCTTCAAGCCCATTCAGCGGGAGCTCGGCGGACGGCAGTGAATATACCGGATTACAAGGTTCGCAGGAAGACATCGATGACGATGACAACTCGTCCGTTTCCGGCTCTGACGGGGAAAGTACGGCGATGAGTATGGATGATATGACCGCTCGTTCTGCAGTCACGGCTCGGTCAGATGGGTCTGAGGCTAGCACTAGCTCTAGTGCTCGGCTGAATGAGGCTCTACGGCAAGCGGCCCGAGAAGCAGGCACTCGTGGAATTGAGGACGATGACGACGGTGACATGTCGATGGAGATCGCCGATCAGGAGATCACAGGCGCCTTCCAACCGTGGATCAAGAAAGGAGAACGCCAAAGTTTTGATTGGGAAGACATTAGCGCTCGGCATGATCAAGAGAATGTCCAGCCCTCAGGGTTCATGGCCGACCAACCGGCTGAGGTTGATGCGGAAAGCGACAACGGGAATGAGGATCTTAGCATGGAAGTGACGAATGCCATCGGACGTATCCTTCCAGGCCAGCAGAGCCGTCGTCAGAGCACGAGGAGTCGCATGTCGCTTGGCGCGGAGACCGTGTACGATGAACAAACCATGGAATTGACCAATGTCGTTGGAGGTATCGCGCAACCTATTTCGCCAGCCAAGTCAACAGGAGCCAACAGTAACGCAGACGAAGACGAAGAGATGACAATGGAGTTCACGTCGGTCGTTGGTGGAGTTCTGAACAAACCGCTAACGGCTAATGTGGCCAACGAGAACGACTATGGTTCAGCAGAATCTTTCACGCCAAACACCAAGGCACCAAACTTCTCTGCTTGGGAGAACGGAGACGATGATATGGATGAGGGGATGGACATGGAAATGACTGGGGCTATTGGTGGCATACTTCCTGCAGCCCAGGAGCAAAGCGAAGCACAAGATGAGGATCAAACCCAGGGCATGGATTTCACGGCCGCCGTGGGTAAGATAATATCACCCCAAGCAGAGCCTCAGGAGGCCGCCGAACCAATGGAAGTAGAGCCACATGTCGAACCGACTGCTGCTCGCCTGGGTAGCTCGCCCTCTCAGGAACCCGCTCGTCAGTCCCTAGCTAAATCACCCGCATCGTTCCATGTCGCTGCTGTTGCTTCAGAAAACGGAAGCCCTAGCCTGGCGAGTGTGAGATCCAGACGGACCCGACAAAGCCTAAGCCATGCTGCTTTGAGCACACCAACCTCTCAGACATCACAGCCATCCCCGAAGCAACCAGCGCTACAGGTCAGCGGACTTTCACCTGCTGATACTCCGTCTAAATCCACTGGTAACCAGAGTACATCGCCCGATAAGCCACCGCAGCCGAACCCTGCAGGACCTACAAGCGGGAAGAAATCTCCAAGGCGTAAAAGTCTTTTTGGAAATACTGGAACTGGAGAGTCTGCTCCTCTCTTTGTCTTGCAACCTCATGGAAAGAGGCGATCTTCAGGTCTGGGGATCGACAAAGAAGGCCTTGGGTCGCCTAAGGTGGCTGCTATGCTTGACAAGCGTCGATCGATAGGTGAAGAGGCGCCGCAGTTCATCCCCCAGGAGCCATCTAAACAGGGAGTGCGCTTCGAGGATCCCGTGAAGCTTCAGGAGGAGGTTGAAAGAGAGCGCGAAGAGGAGGAGAACCGGGAAGATGGGCACATTCCGCCCCCACCCCTCAATGATCGCGATCCCACAGCTCACCTGAAAGACATGATCTCAAGTCTTACCCCGAAGAAGAACAAAATGCGTGGGAGAAAGAGCTTGCATGTTGGCGCCGCTCGTGGCGTCCTCGGTAAACGGCCAGTCGAGCTGGATATGGATGATGAAGATGTTGATAGCACACCAAAGCGTTTGAGAGGGCGTGAAAACGTGAGTCCAGTGAAGAACATCAAGCTTCCCGCACCTCCGTCCAAGGATGAAACGGTTGGTCGTGCAGCTCGTTCGCCTTTTAAACTTTTCAGCGGATCTCCATTGAAGATGAGCACCACTCCTCTCCA